ATGTGAGCAAGGAAAGAATGGGAAAATATAGTCAAACTGTTAAGTGAAAAACAATTTCAACCAAGAATACTATACCTAGCAAGATTATTTTTCATATGGGAAAGAAAAGACAAAAACATTCTCAGATAAACAAAATTTGAAAGAATGTACCCACACCAGACCAGCTCTCCAAGAAGTTCTGAAGGGAGTGCTATACCATGGAAACTAAAGTTGGACACACTGAAATAAGAGTACAAAAAAATAACCAAGAAAATGGCCAGCCTAATGGTAGGGACATGTTCAGAGATTAATCAAATTAAATTGAAGGTTAACTTCCAGAATTTAAATGGAAAGATCAGACCACAGTAACACTGCAAATTCAGTAGAAGAGAGATTAATTACATGAGACTGAACTGGTGAAATAGAATTTTATGACTTTTAACTAAAACATTCTTGAGTTTCTTCTATGCTTTGTTTTCCAGATTTAAGGAATTTTGTCTTCTCTTGAACTATCAATAGTTTCATCTACCTACTGTTTGAACTGAACCCTAATCTTTTTTCTGGGTTTAGGTCTTAAGCAAATTTCTCTTAACATTTTTAATTTTGATCTATTAAAACTGAAACTGTTTTTCTTGAAGTTAAAAAAATGCATTAAAAATACCTATTTAGTGACTGCAGTAAGCTAGATAGCCCCAGCTAGGTGCTGCTTTATAGTATGTTCATTCTACTCACTGAGGTTTATGCCTAAAGTCAGACATATGTTCATAAATATGTATGTATCAGTTGTGCTTGCTACTGAAAGTATTTAGATTAATTACTATCTTTAGTGAATCAATAAAATGTGAAAAAAGGGTATGGAAAGCAACTATAGATCAGAGACAGTGTGGGAGGAGGGTGGGAAATAGTAGAGGGTGTGAGGTAGGGAATCAAGGTGGGGACAAGTAAATTATATAAGAAATAAGAAAAGGAAAATTATTTGTTGGTAACATATATGGCAATATCCTTGATTGAGTCAATATACAGTGTATTCTGGATGGAAAATCTCATTTTGTATACAGTATTGATGTACAGTGAATAAATGTAAATAAATAAATTTAAAATAAATAAATAAGTAAATCCTTCTTGTGGAATCTTCTCACAACCTGCTCCCAGTACACAACCAGTTTTTCTGCCCTGAGACTTCCCCAAATGATCCAACTTCTTCATTTGTTTATTTACTTCTTCCATGAGAGACAGAGATAGAGAGATACTCCAACAGGATCCCCAAGCAGTGATTCACCTTAGTCTCACCAACCCAGATCACGGGCATATGTGGGTGTGCCTAGTGTAGACTGGGAGACCCTGGGCCTTGATCCAGGGATGCTTTCACATGGGTGTGGTTGCACTACTGCTGTGCTACACTTGGCCCACGGTGATACTCTTGCTTTTCATCTCTCTCATCGAACTCCTCCTTCTGCATAACACACATACACACACACATCTGCATTTATTTCTATGTTTGTACATACTTGCTTTTATTTCTGTAGTCTAAATTTATTGAAAACTACCTGTTCACACTAATTCCTCCAATTCCAGTTCAACACCACAGGTTCTATTCAAGTTTTCTCTCTTTCCACAAGCCTAGGTACCTTCTCTAATAATAAGAAGCCTGTGTTCATTATCTTTAATTTCCTTGATCTATTTTCTCGACATCACCCATCTCCCATCTTTGCTGCCACCCTTTCCCCATTAAGACGCCCTTCTCTCCATAATCAGGCTCGAACTCCCCAGTCCTGGTCCCATTCCCTACGTCTATGCCCTCCTTGCTATGCCTGAGTGTTCTCACAGGGCCAGCATACTCTGCCCTGCATGGACACCCTCCTCACATGGCTGAGGTTCAGCTTTCTGTTTAGGCCATGCCCTACAGGAAAACCCTCCCTACTTGCTCCTGTTCTGACTGCTGATGCTGGCCACCACTTAACTGCCTTGGGCTCAAACACTTTACACGAGGCCACCTCCATGGGCAAGCTTTCTCATGTAGGCTCTGAATCCCCACCCTGGGCTGCCCTACCTCACAGACAGACTTCTTATCTGTCTCAGTCTCTGAAACATTACCAAAACTACCCTCTGCATAGAGACTTTCTTCATCCTGCCCAAGGTATTGTTACTCAAATCAGGTTCGCTTGCCCAAGCACTTCAAACCAAACTGCAAGCACATGATGTGATGAAGGAAAGTACAGCTTTTTGTCTTGTGCAAAGCAAGGAGAGCAGGCAGCCTGCTGCTGAAAAGGCCTGGTCTCCATTAAGAGGTCCCCACGTGAGTCTTTAAGGGCAAAATTAAGGATAGCGGATGCATATCTGTTGGGTTACTGGTTAAGAAGGCATGATCATCTCTTGGGTCTTTTTGATTGACAAAGTCTTAGTCAAATTTCTATTCTAGGCAATCATCAGGTTTCTAACACCATTTAATCTGAGGTCTTTGTGCTCTTCGCCAGCAGTTTTCATCCTGCAAACACCTTAAATATTGAAGTTAGAATCTTTTCTTTCTTACAAGTGTGAGTGTAGAATCCATACACTGAACTCCCGATCATCTCTTGGGTCTTTTTGATTGACAAAGTCTTAGTCAAATTTCTATTCTAGGCAATCATCAGGTTTCTAACACCATTTAATCTGAGGTCTTTGTGCTCTTCGCCAGCAGTTTTCATCCTGCAAACACCTTAAAAATGAGCTCCCCTCTCTCCTCCCTCTTCATGTTAGCTCCCTGAGACCCAGCTGTTGGTCCAGCTGGGCCTCCTGAACATCTGGTGACCATGACTTCATAAAACCGGCCTATGGCCCAGAGGTATACATACTCCTGCCACAGTAACATTTCTAGACTAGGGGCACTAAATCCTAAACATACTCTGCTGATTCTGTTCATCACTTAGTTTTACTGTGATTTTCAGACAATGTGTGTATAAACCAGACTTCTGACCAAGTGACAGGGCATCTGCATTTATTTATTTATTTTGCTTTTGTTGTAGGGTGTGTGCACTCACCAGAAAGAGACAGAGAGAGAGAAAGAGAGAAAGAGAAAGAGAAAGAAAGTGAGAAATCACCTCCAGGGGAGGGGGGTGATTGCTATACAGCAAGTCCTTCTCCATTCTCCTATTGAGATTTTCGGCACACACACACATGGGCCCAGCATGACTTTCAAGCTTCTGGGGATGAGCTCAAACCATACTGTCAGCTGTGTGGGA